TTAGACATCTATTTTGAGAATATTATATCTGCTATGGAAATTCAGCGATGTTTGCCTGTCTGAATTTCCGATCTGTTTACTTTAATAAAAGTATGGATTCTTTCGCAATATCATCTATTTTTGACTTTGACTAAGCTGGGGGCCCTTTGAATCCACGGGGCCCTGGGCTGAAGCCCAAAAAGCCATATGGTAGATCCGCCTCTGGTTAGAACACTAAATAATAGGAATTATTATTAAAAGATATATTATACTGCTGAACTTGCTACTTAATAATTCAGTAACGGTTTCACAAAAAGCTTACTTTTTCGGTCTAAAGCTTTCGACCCTCTATTAATAGCCGTTATTTAAGAAAATTTTACTAAAACTACGACTAACTATTATTGTTATTTAATTATACATATAACATTTCTAACTTCCACTACTGGCATCAGCTATAAAAAAAAAACATTTTTTTAACTTATTTCTGTAAATTAGTAAACATCTTTTCTTTTCTAATAACTCTATTGTATTAATTGACATTCTGTAGTTTTTTTAAATATATATTATATATATATATATATTAATTCATATTTGATCAATAAAAATGTGAAAATGAAAATTGTGTTTTTTTATTTGATTTTTAATGATTTGGAATGTAATTTTATGTATCATATTTAGTTTATCCGGTTATGGTAACAATAAACATTTATTATTAAAAACACACAATAAGTTGCCAAGTTCGATAGAACTATGTAGGTACATTCAAACAAAGTCTAACGCATATTTTTATTGAGCAACAATTAATATTCGGAAGATATTTAAATTTGGCGTTAACGTGAAACAATTTATAAATACTTCAGGCACTTTTTAAGAATGTCTTTAAGCGATTAATAATTTATTTAATATAAATCCAAGCTAATATACAGCAAAGATTCCTTTGAAGCGAGATTATTAAATATAACTATATGTTTTTTTGGTTTCAGCTTATTTACTTAAATCTATCTAACTAATCAAATAACAATGCAATAGCACCAACGGCATAGCGTTATCTACAATATTCCTTTTTTTTAAATTATTATATATATTTTTTAATCGTGAGAGTTCGGTCGGTATTTCATATTAAGTCAGCAACAACTTAATACCGACTTATTTAGTTTTAACAAATACGGTGATTACGATCCTGATAGTTTTTTTTTATGTTATAGGGGGCATACGAGCATACGGTTCACCTGATGGTAAGTGATCACCGTCGCCCATGGACACTTGCACCACCAGGAGGAGTATCACAAATGCGATGCCGGCCTTTAAGGAAGGAGTACGCTCTTTTTTTGAAGGTTTTTGGCTCGTATTGGTCCGGAAACACTGCTGGCGACAATATATTCCACAGTTTTGTCGTACGTGGTAAAAAATAGTAAACGCTGGTCTCAATTCGATTGGGATAAGAGATGCTTTTTGTAATTCAGGTTTTCTAACATCAATAGTTACATTTCACAGTTACTTTCAGTAAAAACGTTCCACTGAGACGAAATTATCACTGATGTATTTCATTCCTCAAAGAGATAATAGGCTAGTTGACACTTTTTGGAAATATGTTTTAATAGGGTAAATAATTGTTCAATTAGACCGAAAAAAATGTATTGTAATTTTTTTTTTACCTATAAAGCTACAAAACTTTAATTTAAAATAGATTTTTCATGGACATACAAAAACGCTGTCGGCCATTTTAGTCTATAGATTATCTATGGTATGACGGGAATAATAGTAAACAAATATTCGCAAGCACGTAGGATATAACCTATTTGAATTTACATTACAAAACCATGATTTCTAATAGATTTCATGATAAATATAGTAATTTTCATGATTGTATTATACGAGAATAAACAAACACATCGTTAAAAACCCTAGAAATTGTGGTTTCAATTTTTAAGGTTATGAATGTACCTGCTAAGTCAAAGAGTTTTGTCGTTTCTGCTTTCACAAATCCAGCGTCCAGCATTAATTTAGTGAAGAAAACCATTAAAACGGAAACTTTTCTTCAAGATATAAGAGAGATATATTTTAGTCGAACAAAAGAAACCACAGTAACACGGCAATGACGTTTAGTTGTTTTGTTAATATGTTGTCGTCACAATCATGGTGGACAGCGTTTTTAGTGTTTAAAAGCATAGACTAAAAACTATTTTTCAAATTAAATTACTACAGCCATCTTCTAATTTTATGAAGTGAAATCGATGTATTTAGGTTCCTCATACCAAAAATTATAAGAAATAAATATTTGTATAGTGCAATTTGAAATGAGTCAACTAGCCTATTCGAAACAATAATTTGCACAAAGCAAAGTTCAATATACAAATATATCTCATCTGTATATATTTTTTAAAATTTATAACCTATATTATATTTGGTCTGATGCACCTGTTCACGTAAACTGACCAGCAGAAATATGCATTTTATTAAGCGTGCTCAAGCTTTTATGAAATAACAATAAATTTAGTTATTTAATTTTAATATTTTTGGCTATCAAGATAATAACGACGATACGATACCATAATTTTAAACTTTGTCTATCTTATTAACATGATGAATTAAATTGTATAATTTTTAAAAACTACACTTAGAAATGCTTGGAATTTAATACCTAATCTTAAATAATTTTGGAAGTACTTGGTAACTTTTGTAATTATTTACTTAAAAAATAAGAAAAACGTGTTTTGAAGAGAGACTAAATATGGCGCCCAACTTGGGGTGCCGGATATTAATTATTGACAATATTATTTTGAGGGAATTATGATTCATAATATGTCAGCCACCTACTACTACAGTACTAGATAATTTGAATAAAATCTCCCGTAGTTCAAATATACGAAATACGTAATTTATATTTAGAATTATAAAAATAAAATGAAAAACTATTTTGTGTTTGAAATTAAAAAATATAAAAGTATTTAAATTTTGTAGTTAAATACTTTTAATAATTTACTTTGCACATTTCTAGTCTTTAACTTATTGTTGGTCCAGTGCCCTATTTCACCCAGTCAACATATGCCACTGACATATTTTATAAAAATTACAGGCATATTGTTACAATTGTCCATATCTTATTTCAACGACAGTTATTTTGTGAAACAAGGGTTATTTTAAGTGGTTTTATTGACCAATTGTCAATATTTTGTGACACGAGATCGGAGCCGTGACAGATTTGCATTACAATTGCAGTGTTTTCGTTGTAAGATACAAAATGGATCTCCGCGAAAGCTTGAAAAGACGAGTTCTTTTACAGGAGAATTTATAAAAAACGATAAAATTTCTCCTTAGATATCACTAAATTTGCGTTCAAAAAACAATTCCGCATAAGCAAAACGAGTATCGAACATTTAAGTAATGAAACCGGTGCAGTAAATAGTTAACTGCACGACAAACTGTCAGCTTACATATCATGTCAGTGACATATAGACACGCCCCACCAAACCATCACTGACGCATCATATCGACTTGGCGAAATAGAGCCCTGATGATTTTAATGAACGGAGGGTCCTCCCAAACACCCCTGATTCTAATGAGGCAATGCTCTGCGGCTAGTAAGGAGAGGAGATCTGGAATGGTCCCTAAAAGCGTATAGATAACGAACTCGGGTCACTTGAGCGACTGGTATATAGGTAGCTTTTACTAGATTGCTATGTGAAAGTTTTAATTGGCTGAAAAGTCTTTAAGAGGACGGTGGCTTCTTGGACTAAAGGGATGCTCAGCAGCGACTTAAACAAGCTGATCCTATATTTCTCAAAGTCCTACATTTCCGCCGAGGTTCAGCTGTTTCAAAATCCTTATCAGTCAAGGCTTGGCTCACCGACGTGGCGCCAATCGCGGCATCGAACGGCACAGGTGATAAATACCACCGCAACAAGTAGAACGCACTAGTACTACTACAATATAAGATGATCCTAACAGTCCTAGATTACTGCCAATTATTCTGCAGTTTTAAAGTCCTCATAGTGAGACCATGGTCAGTAGCGCTACAAGAAGTATAGACGCGACAGTGGTCGCTAGGCGCATGCGTTACAAGACTGTGGTTGACTCATCTACACAAGCACAGCGCACGTGATAAATACCGCTACAATAAGTAAAGGCACTCCAGAATAGACACTAAAGAGAACGCATTTAAACATCCTAGATTTCTAAAAGTCCTAGATTGCTGACGAGAATTCAGCAGCTTTGAAGTTCTCGTTAGCGCGAGGAGGAGTAGATAACACACTTAAATCACTGGAGCGGCTGCAATATAAGCCGTTTCTGCATATTCTAAAGAACTAGATTGCTGCTGAGTGTTCAGCAGTTACAGTCCTCATAGTGAGACAATGCTCAGTAGCGCCACAATAAGTATAGGTGCGGCAGCAGTCGCGGTACAATCATTTGGCTCACCGACGCGGCGCCAATCGCGGCATAGAACGGCACAGGTGATAAATACCACCGCACCAAGTAGAACGCACTAGTACCACTACAATATAAGCTGATCCTAGTCCTCATAGAGAGACAATGCTCAGTAGCGCCACAAGAAGTATAGGCGCGGTAGCGGTCGCTAGGCGGTCGCGGTACAATCATTTGGCTCACCGACGCGGCGCCACTCGCGGCATAGCACAGCGCAGGAGATAAAAACAACCACAAAAAGTAGAACTCACTAGTATCACTACAATATAAGCTGATCCTGACAGTCCTAGATTACTGCCAATTAATCCGCAGTCATAAAGTCTTTATAGTGAGACAATTCTCAATATCGCCACAAGAAGTATAAGCGCGGCAGCGGTCGCGGTACAATCATGGCTTGGCTCACCGACGCGGCGCCACTCTCGACAGAGCACGGCACAGGTGATAAATAGCACCGCAACAAGTAGAGCGCACTAGTATCACTACAATATAAGATGATCCTAACAGTCCTAGATTGCTGCCAATTATTCTGCAGTCATAAAGTCTTCATAGAGAGACAATGCTCAGTAGCGCCACAAGAAGTATAGGCGCGGCAGCGGTCGCTAGGCGGTCGCAGTACAATCATTTGGCTCACCGACGCGGCGCCACTCGCGGCATAGCACGGCGCATGTGCCGATCGCCAGCACTAGCAGAGTTCCCATCACCACACACACGGCAGCCACCCACGTGCGCGTGTCGAATGTTTCCGAGCCCTCCAGGAAGTGTTTGTATAGCTCTGCGAACGATATATTTGTTTTTTTTAAGTGTGCTGGCGCAGATTATGAAAACTGGTTGCATCTACTTTCATTTGTAACGAGGAAAGAAGGTGCAATCAAACTTTCATGGTCACTAATTAATGTCAAACCAAGTCATGATCACGGAGTACAGGTCGCGGCACGTAACTCTAGCGCTGAACAAAACGCGCTGCTCCATTCCCCTATGCCTTATGCACCGCCTAATGTTGGGTTATTTAAGAAAAGAAGTTTCACTTCAGATGAGTGGTCGGTGCACACTAATTTTTTTAGCAATACTGCATGATCATGTCTTGGTTTGTCGTAAATCTGCTTTAGGAGCCGTCCATTAGAATATTGACCGAAAGGGTGGGGCGGTTGACATTTGAGCGAGGTTTATGATTAATGACCGAGCGACGGCGTCGCGGCTCACAAAAAACAAATGCATTCCCTGTCAGTGTCGCCACCACCCTAGCATAGCAACAGAACCGTTGACCTGCCCGATCAACCTTTTGATGAATATGAAAGCAACGAACTTACAAGCCGTAAACAACATTTTCCCAACAATTCTACGGGAATGAAACTACGGGTGTCAAATTTTGTTTTTTAAACCACTACTGATTTTCAAAACGAAATCTTCAATGTTTGAAATTGTAGAAGAATAAGTGCAACTGTTGTTCTGTTAATTGCACGGACACGGGATCTCCAGGGGGTCTTTCTATTTTTAAAGTACTTGACCGATTCCGAAACTATTTTTACCAGATCGTACCTACGTTAAAACCCATTATTTCCGGATGCTGATTCGTGTCTACTTAATACGATTCTCCGCGTGCGTAGCCGGGACGGGCCGCCAGTTTCAAATAAAAAGACGCACCCGCTTCCTGATCGCTGAACAGCGTGGTGGCCAGCACCTCCACCGGTGGTCCTGAGCCCAGCGCGTTGGTAGCCCACACGCGGAACCAGTACGACGCGTTCGGCTCCAAGTGGTACACGTCTACTTGCCGCTGAAATCACCAACAAATTATCATGGCTAAATGTCACCGATGTCGTCAATGAGGAGCTCGATGGCGCAAGAGGTTAGCAGCGCGTTCGGCTGCGATCGTTGAACTTAAGCAACTTTCGCAGTGGTCGGTCATTGGATGGGTGACCAAAAATTACTATCTCGAGCTCCTCCGTGCTCCGGAAGGCACGTTACGCCGTTGGGCTGCATCTGCAGTCGTTAGCACCCACCAATCCGCACTGGGCCCGCGTGGTGGGTCATGGCCCAATCTCCCTATTCCATCCATTGGGAAGGCCTGTGCCCCAGCAGTGGGGACATTAATAGGCTGATGATGATGATGATGAATGTCACCGTGAAATACTACCCTTAAGCATCAGACTAATATTATAAAGGCGAAAGTTTGTGAGCGTGTATGTTTGTTACTTCTTCACGTCTAAACGGCTGGAGCGATGTTAATAAAATTTGGTATATGCTGACACCCTGAAATAACACACAGGCTAAGTTTTACTGCGGGAAAATATCCCTAATAAACCACGGTTAACACCGCGGGGCACCGCTAGTATTATTATAATTATCTTGTTAATTTATAAACGGACTAGATGCATTAAACTTAGACCGCCTTATTACAAAACGTTTGAATAAAGTAAAACCGGTCCGTCCACAAATAACACCATCACCTTTGTTTGCTAAAATAAAAAGAAGACAGAGGCAACATTAGGTATAAACCGAGATTTTAGATTTAAAGTTAGAACTTAAGTCCAGTTTTTGCAATATGGCAGTGACTGTATTAATCCATTTTGTATTACATGTAATTGGCGTCCGCGTGGGCATTGTGTATTATTGTTTCATGGAAAGTAAACTGGTTCGAAAAATAGATTTTTCTAAACTTAGCCAGCAAAATGTCATACTGAGGTCACAAAACATTTTGTCAACTTACTAAGCTTGGGATGATAGGCTGTCAGGGTTCAAGGGCGCTATTGACTGGCATGATATAGAAGTACTGCGTCCTGATGATGATAGTGGGATGGCCACCGTCTCTAGCTATGTGCCACAGGATCAGGAAGGCTGCTTCTTAACGTCCAGTTCTCGCTTATTGTTGTCAAAGCTTTGCAGAATGAAGGTAAGTCTTAGGACTAATGTGGTTGAGACTGGTAGGGCGCCAGAACTCGAGGGCTCGAGGGAGCTATTGACTGATATGGCGTACTAAAAATCGGCTCCTTCGTCAAAGCTAGTTTATATAAGTAAATGTATTTTTATTTATGAATATTATGTTCTATATATATATCTCTCTCTGTGTGTGTATGTATGTGTACGTGCTGTGTATGAATATATATGCGTATCTGTGGATGTGCGTGCATGTACGGGTATGTATATATAGTTAATGTGCAATTGTCTGACGTGTGCTGAAGATGTAATTTTATAATTTTTCAAAATGTAAATGTCAAAATGTCCTTCTTTTTTTTTTTTTGTTCTTATTTTAATTTTATTATTATGTATTCTTTTATAATGATGTCGATTATGGCGTGATTCTCTAGGGCTAGTCTTGGGTTTGACAGCGGTGCCTGTCATTCTCTATACAGAGTGAAGGGGAGGGACCGATGCGTGTTGAATTTGGTTTTGGGTTCGGAGAGTCACGCCAGAATCGTTACTATAGCGCCTAATACGTCCTCAAACAGGCCCTGCCAGAATACCAGCGCTGATACAGTGAGAGAATATTTTCTCATTGTATCAGCATAAGCTGAGGCAGGGTCCTGATTGGCCATTTTAAACCTAATGTTTAATTTTTGTTCTTAGGTTAAGTTTCTTTTTTATATATTTTTTTTCCTCTGTTTCTTATACCATGGCCAATAAAGATTTTTCATTTTATTCATTTCATTACTAGTACCTGCACCATGACGTCGGATAATGGAAAGGCCTATCTTACCGACAAGTTTTTGCATTTTTTTTTTTACACTCACACCAATTAGCCTAGCCCCAAAGTAAGCACTGTAAGGCTTGTGTTATGGGATACTAGGGTAACGGATAGAATACATATACTGTACATATATAAGTATATTTTTATAGATATACATATTAAACATCCATGACTGGAGTACAAATGCTCGTATTCATCACACAAACATCTGCCCCCACCGGGATTTGAACCCGGGACCTCTCGAGTCGGCGACACCATGAAACCCGGTGTACAAACCACTCGACCACGGAGCTTTGCGCTACTGCGCAATGAAGTCGGTCAATAGGAATTAAGTGTAAAACGTAATGAGTATTCGCAGATGCGGCCGAAGCATTACCGGCAAGTTCCTACATTTGTACAATGAAGACAAGATTCACCGTGTAAGGGTGATGTGGTTCGAGATGATGGGCCGCCAGGGCTCGAATGAGCAATGAGTTGATTGGCGTGGAGGAGGGGTAATGCACCATAAAGTCGACGATGGGGTAGCCGCTGTCTCCAACCACGTTTCATAGGATGACGAAGACCGCTTCTTAAAGCAAAGTTCCCGCCTGTTGTTGTCAAAGCTTTGTACAGTGAAGTCAAGTCTCACCGAGTTAGGACTGAGAGGGCGTCAGGGCTCTAGGGAGCCGTTGACCGGCGCAGCGAAGCGGTTCTGCCTCGTGAAGCCTATGATGAGGTTGCCGTCTTCAGTCACGTTCTACAGGATTGTGAAGACCGCTTCTTACAGCAAAGTTCCCGCTCATTGTTATCAAATCTTTGTATAGTGAATTCAAGTCTCACCGAGTTAGGACTGATGTGGTTGGGGCTGATAGGGCGCCAGGGCTCGAGGGAGCCGTTCACCGGTGCGGCGGAGCGGTACTCCGCCGTGAAGTCTATGATGGGGTGGCCGCCGTCTCCGGCCACGTTCCACAGGATCAGAGCGAGAATGGTGGATGCGTGCACTGTCACATTCACCAATGGAGGGGGCTCCGCTGAGGACAAACAATTATAATTATAATAGATTCTCCACAAACTGTATTAACTATTTGTCCATAACCAAACAGGTCGCAGAGCTCGTGCTATGCATGGTCAATACTGGCCAGATCAACCTATGAAAAAAAAAGCTTTTGTATATACTGGGTAAAAACCCTCAGAGCTATAATGAAGTGTCTTGGTATCATGGCAATTTTGCCCCAAATTCATTAAGTACACATATTTAGAACTATTTATTTTTATTGTATAAAATGTGAATGTTTTTAATGACATTCAAAAACAAAAACTCGTCTTAATAATACAACCTACTTCTCTACTGACTTTCGATTGTTCTTGTGTTGTATCAGGTGTTTGTGTCGAGTACACACCACTCTCATTCATATTTTAGAATGATAAATATATTCAATGTAACCTATCTTTTTCTTATCTTTTCATAAGGAATAATAAAAGAAATTAAAATGATTCGTAGGCACACCAATGATGTAATTTATTTTTAAAATATTTACTTATATTATTTGTTAATTTTTTCAAGTTTTTATAATTGTACCTACATAATAAATTTACTGCTTTTTGAAACAATATTTATCAAAAATTATCTATGAATAAGTTGCCAGATCTTCGCCACCACAACTCCTTGCTAACGAGGATTTGATACGATGATAGAATTTCATAGTTTAAGTTATTGTTTTTTAATTAATTTATTATGTTATTATAATATTTATATTTACTGCTTTAAATGTGATTTCCATCTCAGTTGTGCATTAAGGATTAAATAAATAAATATTGTTATTTGACATTTTGTTTATCGATCTACTCTATGAAAAAAGCCTCATTAAAGGAAATAGGCAGCAAGATCTGTTTACATTTAAATCAAAGCGTCCGCGATATATGGTGTAATACCTTACAAAATGGCAAGTGGACTTAATTAATTATTAAAATATTAGAGCGATCCAAAGTTCGACTAGTTTTTTTAAATTGTTGATGTGTCACATCTTTCCTCTCGCTTTCCTGCAATTTGTGGGAGTGATTACGTGAAATGGGACGGAAGGGTGTAACAGGAAGTCGCGAAAGCGATTTGATTTTAGAACATAATGTTTAAACGGCTTATTCCTTTTGTAGTAGGTTTTATTTCTTTTTTTACTCATATAATACCTTACACTATATATCGCGGACGCTTTGATTTAAATGTAAACAGATCTTGCTGCCTATTTCCTTTAATGAGGCTTTTTTCATAAAGTAGATCCATTATATTATTTGTATGTTTGTATGTTTTAAGGCGACTAGTGGGAGTCAGTCTTGTGACCACGGGATGTGATGGATTCAAAACATCAAGAATTATGTAAAAAATACGCATTTTATAAAGCTTTCAAAGTGATTTTATTAAGCGATACGTCATCAAACAAACAACAGACGAAGTACAATATCCTACTGTCAATGCGATGAGCAAACAAGTGCTATATGATTGTTGACTTTGTTCGATATGTGCAGTCAATATTTGTACCTATATTTCAGAATTGTTTGCTTAGAGAACAAATATCACGACTTGAAAGTTTGGGTTCGATCAATAAGTTGTTATTAATTTAAGATTTTCTTATTGATTTCTATTATGTCGGCTTCGCATCAATACAAGTTACTAATGAAAGAACTGTTTAGATTTTAAGCTAATACCATCTTTATTATAGAGTTATTTTATAAAAATTTAATTATTTTAGAGTACCTACAAATTGTTTTCATATCCTAATGTTTGTTTGGGGCAGGACTATCCTCATTGTTTGTTTTCTTTGTCTTAACTTAACAACAGTATTATCCTTAACATGCACTTAACATAATGAAAAGGAGAGTCAGCTGTGAAATCCACAAACAGTAAACACAAATAGCCATGAGAAGTGCCCGCATAAGAAATTGCGTCGCGTCGCGTCGCGTCGCGTCTCGTCTCGTCTCGTCGCGTCTCATCTTGTCGCGCGCGTCTCGTCTCGGTATGTCTATGAATAGGGCTGCCATCTCGAAAATGTAGCAACCAGGATAAGACGCGTGATAACCCCGGATTTTGGAGCCCAGAACCCGGACAGACCAATAAAAAAAACAGTTAAAAATGTCACAAATCAACTTTTTTTATGTGTAGGCAAAAGAGCTAAGATAAATGATTTGAGTTTGAGTTTGAGCTAGCGATCTACCTCATAATAAGTGGTCACTGCTGCCCATGTAAAAAGTTTCAGTGCTGTCTTCTACATAGCAACGAATGCTGTTATTGCGGACAGTGTGGGCGACAAAGCTGATCTTTGTTGGAAGTCAGCATTTATAGTTACAATGTTAGAATAGATTTATTTATTTTCAAAGACATTTAAAATGACGAATAATTAGCGACCCAAAACAGGAAATTTTTAAACCCGGACTACAAATGAAACCCCGCCCGGACGCTCCCCGGACGCCCCGTAAACTAGGACAAATCCGGGGAAACCCGGACGGATGGCAGTCCTATCTATGGACCACAGCCCACCTGCTATGAACTGTACCTAATAACACAAATTCCAATGTCAACGGTATTCAAATACTAAAGAAAATATAACGAGGTAAAATTCCACGAGGACCAGGCAGCAGACGGGACTCGAACCCGCACCCTAATCTATTATATTCAATTGGTATTCAAATAATTCATTCGAAACTTTTATCCCAAACAAACAACTTGTTGGAAGAAGATAAAAATGATATTGTCTTGTCCAGTTTGATTAATTAGGCAGCTACGTACTTGTTCAGATTTCTGAATATTTCAGGCTTAGTGGGACGGTCCCAGTTTTCGTTTCACGAGGCCGGAAATATTCAAAAAACTTTCAATTCATAAAACTTTCAGCTTAAAGTTATTTTGCCAATTTTCACGATATTCTGTACACATTATTTTATAAAATCTAATCATAGTCTTTACTCTTTAGTATAGTTATGCAAGAGTACGTACGTAATAAAACACAAAGTTTTGGAGTGTTTGTATACGGAAAAATAAACATAATTTACATCTTAACAGCACTAGACTCAATCTCACACGAAATAACTGCAATCAATATATGTAT